TATGGAAACCAACTTGACAATAAACTATTTAAAAAAATAAAATAAAAAGATTTTTGACACTCAAAAAAAAATAAAATTCTAGTTAACATATAGTGTAATATTGGTTTCAGCAGTAAAATTTAGTGATTCGTCACTTACATATAATAACCCCCAATGCTCATCACAACAAGTGCCCGTTTTTTTTTAAGCAATTTTCTCCTTATTTTTATCTACTTTTTTAATGTTTATTTATTTTTTGGTGTGGGGAGGGCAGAGAGAGAGGGAGATGGAGGATCTCTGCACTGACAGCAGAGAACCCAACTCAGAGCTTGAACTCACAAACCGGGAGATCATGACCTGTGTTAAAGTCAGACACTCAACCAACAGAGCTGCCCACTCACCCCAGCAAGTGCCCTCCTTAATACCCATCACCCATCTAGCCCATTCCCCACCTGCCTTCCTCCATCAACCCTCAGTTTGTTCTCTGTTATTAAGACTCTCTTAATGGTTTTAGGGCACCTGGGTGGCTCAGTCAGTTAAGCATCTGACTCTTAATTTTGGCTCAGGTCATGATCTGCAGTTTGTGTGTTCAAGCCCTGTGTTCACCTCTGCACTGACAATGCGGAGCCTGTTTGGGATTCTCTCTCTCCCTCTCTCTTTGCCCCTCCCATGCTCTCTTTCTGTCTGTCTCAAAATAAATAAACTAAAAATAAAAGAGTCTCTTATAGTTTGTTTCCCTCTCTCTTTTTTCCCCATCCCATATGTTCATCTGTTTTGTTTCTTAAATTCTACATGAGTGAAATTGTAAGGTATTTGTCTTTCTGTGACTGACTTATTTCATTTAGCATAATACACTCTAGCTCCATCCACATCGTTTCAAGTTGCAAGATGTCATTCTTTTTGATCACTAAGTCATATTCCATTGTGTGTAAATGTGTATATATATATGTCACATTCACACACATCTTCTTTATCCATTCTTCAGTTAATGGACATTTGGGCTCTTTCCATAGTTTGACTATTGTTGATAAATATTTAAGTTATTTAAATAGATATTTTACAGAAAGAAGTTTTAGTATGTAGATAGAGAAAAACAAACACTTGCTTAATGACAACCTTCAATTATTATATAAGCTAATAATCAGTTATACTTCCTGACCCTGGTAGGAAATGAGTTTAAGCTAAAGCATAACAATCTAGGCAGAGTTTCCTCAAGAGTATTAGAGTTGTTACTTGGGAAAGGAATTTCTTGGGAGCCAGTGAGATGTCTTTCTCCAAAGTCATTAAAGGTAGCTTAGGTTTTTTCTGTTGGGTTTTTCTGTTTAGAGATGGTGGCTTCTTAGATCTCTTAGGATTTTATAACTTTTTAGCTTCTGCACTTGGAGAGAATATTTGAATATTTTGCCTTTGCTTTCTTTTCTGATTTGGTGCAGTTACTTAAACCCTTGAATTTAATATACTGCTATACTCTCCATGATCACAGACCATGTATTCTTTTTTTAAAATTAAGTAATTTATTTTGAGAGAGAGAGTACAAGTTGGGGAGAGACAGAGAGAAGGAGAGAGAATCCCAAGCAGGCTCTGCACCACCATCACAGAGCCCATTGTGGGGAATGATGTGCTTGCTTATTCATCTGGTAACTGCTTTCTGATTCCACCACGTGCTGTATCTGCACTCTCCTGAAACACAGCAGGTTCCAACATTCCAGCTCTGGACTCAGATACTTAAATACAGGAGTTTAGTCTTGTTATCTCTCATTATTATAACCAGTTAGACCCAGCTCAGGGTGGATGACTTTGAAAAAAAAAATCAGGGTCATCTGGGTGACTATGTTGGTTGAGCCCCCGACTCTTGATTTCGGCCTAGGTCATGATCCCAGGGTCATGGAATTGAGCTCCAAGTCAGTCTCTGCACTGAGCGTGGAGCCTGCTTAAGATTGTGTTTCCTTCCAGTTCTTTTGTAAGGAAATGCTTTTGGTACAGTTTTGTGTCCCAGAAAATGTGTGTGTTTTTTAATTCTTTCTGATTATACAGTAATTAATTCAGGCTAATGTATGTCAAAATATATGTCTTTGTGTAAGTCCAGGACTATTGGTCTGTGAAGTTATTTTGTAAGAAAAAGATTGTGTCTCCTTCCCTCCCCTTGCCACTCTCCACTTGCGCACACTTGCTCTCTACAATTAAGAAAACTCAAATGTTTCAAAGTGTTCTTATACTTTCCGTCTCTGGCTTGATACGCATCATCTGCATTCCTACAGATCTCTTCAAGTGCATTAGATGTATTTTCTGTAGGGTACCCCAGCCAAATGCAAAATTTGAACAAAACCCCATGTGTTAAGCTCCAATTTAAAAGCTCTTGAATACACTGATAAAATACTTTGATAGCATAACTAGACAAAGTTAGCCTTGTAAATAGTTTCAGTTTCTTCAAGAATGAAGAATGATTATATGTCTTTCTAACATGTTAATGTGTATTGTTTCAAGAGAGGAGAGGGGATGATTGGGAGTGGTTGGAAAATTTAACTTTGGACTCTGTTTTCCTAGCCTACTAGTCTCTCTAGTATTTGATTTTCCTTAAAAATGAACAGCTTCACTGATATTTAGAGGTCTGATCAAAGGTAATTTGAGCACTGAAATCTACAACAAATTAATGACCCCTCTTCAAAAAAAGATCCTGGCCTTTATTAATAAACTCTGCTCAGGTAATCCTATCTCTGTGATCAAAGTCCTTGATAACCTCTTCCCATATAAATGGAAAACCAGGTGAATTTATTATAATAACTGACTTTCAATGAGGTTAAAACATGGGTACATCATCGTCTGCCAATTTCCTGAATATATATGTTAGACTGGTAAATATTACTTTCTAGACTATTGTTTAAAAAGCCAAATGTTCAAAAATATTTTAAAGGCAGGCTAAAGATCTCAGTAAAAATGAATGAAGAATAAAGGCTTTCAAATCTGTGACTGGTTCCTCATGTAGCTAACTGGATTATCTAACTCGCCATAAATTTGCTTTTCTTCCCAAAAGGAGATGACCCTTCTTGTAGCTCCTCAACACAAAGAGCATCTTTCTTTTCTCTAAATCGGTTTTTGCTTTCAACTAAATGAAAACCTGATAGTGTCTTTTCTTTCTTTTTTTAATTTTAAACCTGGCAGTTTCTAAGTTCATGTACTATACCCCTCTACTATCCAAATATGTGTTTGAGGAAAAGATTCACTGTAGTCAGGGAAAGCCTTTCCTCCCTTTGGAAAGTCTTCATCTGAAAGACCCTGTCTTTCCCTCTGCACATTTCCCCTGGGGCATTTTCAGTGCCATCAGTAAACAGCACAGCAACAGCAAAAGGACTTTTCCAGAATCAGCTCCTGAAAGTCTTCTGGCTAATGACAGAGTAACTTGCTCCTACTGAAAAGGCATATTGCTCTTCCTCTTACCTTCCATTTTGGGGACGGAGACGGGAAATACCGTGTATTTAGAGAGGAACATGTAAAGAAAAGAGCATTGATCTATCTGGTGGCTCTGCAATCAATAGAGGGACAATAGACATGTCATTTACCATGCTGGGGGCCTCAATTTCATTATCTAAAAAATAAGGTAGTTGAATTATATGATCTTTGAGAATTCATACTGCTTTAAAATACATAATTATTGTTCTGAGGTGCCTGGGTAGCTTAGTTGAACATCTGACTCTTGATTTAGGCCTAGGTCATGAGCCCAGGGTCGTGGGATCAAGCCCCATGTTGGATTCTCTCTCTCCCCTTCTCCCCCCTCCTCTCTCTCTGCCCTTCTCCTCTGCTCGTGCTTGCTCTCTCTCACTCTCTCTCAAATTAAAAAAAAAAAAAAAAAACCATGATTATTGTTCATAAGGATCTTGAATATAATCACTTTTGGATACATATAATTTGCCTCTGTTGCCTGAGACAATTTGGTCCAAGTATTTATTCAGTGTACATGAAATTTCTGTCACTACACTTAAAAGGCCTTTTTCTTTGATAGCTACCTAACCTGGGGTTGATTGACTGGTCCTAACAGTGTGTGCCGGGAATGTGTTTGATGGAAATCTTGGAGAGTTGGCTTGCAGCAAGTGGAAAGGCCTCAGAAATGTTTAGGCTGTTTTAAGACCTGGTTATCTTTAAATGATCTGGCTGATATTTCCCAAGCAACTCGGTCACAACTTGTCACAATTGCTAGTATAACCACTAAATCCAAAGTAGCTCAATTACGAAGCTATCACAGAGCCAATCCAGATCCTCCTTCCATTGTTATACTGCTGGATGCTATGGAGACAGTATGGAATTTGGGTCAGCCAGAGCTAAGAGTTCACAGTCTGACTCTGTCCTTTTCTGATTTTGTGATACAGGTTAACCACTGTATGCCCCAGTGTCCTCATTTATACAACAGCACTTACTTACCTTAAAAATTGTTATGGGATTGGGGCTCCTCAGTGACACAGGCAGTTAAACTTTGGCTCAGGTCATGATCTTGCAGTTCGTGAGTTCAAGCCCTGTGTCGGGCTCTGTACTGACAGCTCAGAGCCTGGAGCCTGCCTCAGATCTGTGTCTGCCTCTCTGCCTCTCCCCCACTTGCGTGCTTGTGTGCCTGTGTGTGTGTGTGTGTGTGTGTGTGTGTGCACGCACTCTCAAAAATAAACATTAAAAATATAAATTGTTATGGGATCAAATGTGATGACTGACAAAAAGAGCTTCTCACATGCCTCATAATGGGAACACCTGACATTGTATACCCCCTTACCATTTACTTACCATTTACTCATAGAAGTAGTTTTATTTAGGCAACTAAATGTGTGGATTTGCTTTGCCAGATAATATATCATTTAGGTATTGAGGCCTGAGTCAGGCTTGCTAGGTAAGGGGCCCTGGGCCTTTGGAACTGAGTTAAGCCAGATCTAGAGCCTTAGCTATCTTGAGAGTCATTTATAAAACATCCTTTTATGTTTTCCAGGAATCTGAATTTCTGTGTTTGGAATTTGATGAAGTCAAAGTCAATCAACTTCTAAAGAAGCTGTCAGAGGTAGAAGAAAGTATCAGCACACTGATGCAGCCAGCCTAGCTGAAGATGGAAGTGTTAAAGCAAAGGTGTTTATGATCCCTTCCCAGTGAGCTGGGGCATTTTGTTGTTGTTTTTTAAGATCCTATTCCCCCATTAGTATTAAATCCTCAAATTCAAATTTTGCCTATCTCTGCTTTCTGGGTTTTTATTTTTTTCTTTCATTCACTCTTAGAGTTGTACTGCGTGCAGAGGTTCTTATACTTCAGCATGCACAGGTGCTCATAAAAGCATTTTTTTAAAGATTTTATTTCTGTTCTAAAAAATTTTTTTTGATCTTTTTTTATTTTTGAGAGAGGGAGAGAGAGACAGAGCATGATCAGGGGAGGGGCAGAGGGAGAACAAGACACAGAATCCGAAGCAGGCTCCAGGCTCTGAGCTGTCAACACAGAGTTCAATGCGGGGCTCAAACTCACAGACAATGAGATTATGACCTGAGTGGAAGTGAGACATTTAACTGACAAAGTCACCCAGGCGCCCCTTAAGATTTTATTTTTAAGTAATCTCTACATCCAACATGGGGCTCAAACTCACAACCCTGAGATCAAGAGTCACATACCCCCACCGACTGAGCCAGCCAGGCACCCCATCATAAAAGCATTTTAAAAAGGAGGTTTCCAGGACCCTATCCTTAGACTTGAAATCAGTAGGACTAAGTGGAGTCAGCTTTAGAAACCCTTGCTGTGGTGGTTTGTTCCTAGGGAAGGATTTTAGGAATTTATACATAATAAATCAGGTAAAAATTAGAAAAGGGGGACGAAAACATTTTATTCGTGCAAATACAAGGCTGACCACAAGGTCTGTGTCTTAAGCTAAAACTTAGAGGAGCCTGCCTAACCTAGAAAAGGTTAATGACCCTAGTATAAGCTGTGATGCTCCTCGAACTGATACAGGTGTTTGGATTAGTTCTCCTGATTTATAAATTGGGGAGGTCTAGTCTGACCTGAGCTACTGAAAACTTGGGCTTTTCTGGAACCTAGAACTCAATGGTCCTTGTCACAAAGGGACTCTCTTCACTTACCTCAAGTGAGGATTATAAGAAAGGAAGAATGTCTGCTGAGCTCATGTAAGGTCTTTTATATCAGACAATTTTACTCAGGTCATCAAATAAAGCCTCAAAATGTCAAAGACAGAAAATTATTCAAGAAAACTAGTGTAGGGCTGCCTGCCTAGCTCAGTCAGTAGAGCATGTGACTCTTGATCTCAGGGTTGTGGGTGTAGAGATTTCTTTAAAAATAAATAAAAATTTTAAAAATAGAAATAAATAAATAAATAAGTAATAAAAAGTAAAGCTAGTATAAAAACTAGATCATCGTAGAGAAGTGATACCAAATACCAAGAATATTCTAAAAGAAGGAAGCTGTCAACCAGCCATGGCTCTTGTTTAACAGGTTTTGTCAAATCTGATACTGATAACATTTAGAAAGCTCAGTTGCCTTTGAGATGTAATGTGCTCCAAAAAAATGTAGTTCCCTTGGTCAGTCGATACAGCATAAGTCAATTCTAATGAGTTTATTCTAGGGCAGGAATAAGTTCTCTTCTGTTAAACATTTTATCTCTCCTAAATCAGTTTGCAGACATTTTAGGAGCCCTTCCAACAACCAAACTGAAAATATTGGCTTCCTCTCTGAGGAAAACCATCCCAGCAGTTAGCAAGCAATGACCAAAGGTTTTAAATGTAGCTTCTGTAGACGCTTGAGAAAACATCTTGAAACAGTATGGTAAATAGATTCAGAGAAGGCATTTGGTTTGGCCAAAGAATTATTAAAACTGGCTTTCTGTTTCCAGGGCTACTGTCATGTGATCCTGGAGAATTTAGATATAATGTCTCCCGATATAACATGAAGGAAAAGAGTATCCCATCATCTAACGGGATTCCAGATGTCACTGGAAGGAAGAACTGTAGCTACCACATTAATACTGACTCACATATCCAGTGGAAGTCTGTGAAAGCCTAAAAGAACAGTTCATGGGTGCACAGGGAGAGGAAGTCGTTGTTATGGTGTGAAGCTCTGTTTAAGTCATCCTATGAAATTAAGTAGCCACAAAAGTGGACATGGGCTTTTTATTATACCCCCAAATCCTAGGTCACTAGAAAATCTGTTAATGTATACTGAGTTTTTCTTCTTCTCCTTCTCCTTCATCATCATCATCATCGTGGTAGTAGTAAAAGAAACTGGTTGCAAAGGTGGTCCCCATATTTAACCAAACACTTTGGAATACAAGTGGTTTTAAGCAGGGTGTGTTTGTGTGTGTTATATTTCCTGGTGATTTTAAAATATCTGATTACCAAAGGAATATATGTCTATTATAGTCTGTTGTGAGAATACATAGCACACTACGGACAGTTAGATGCCCTGTCAGCCTAACCTACAGAGATAACAGAAAAGAAGGCTGGTACTAGGAGAAGAGTTGCCTTTCCTTGAATAAATTCCTAGAAGTGGAACACATGTTTTTTAAGACTTTGATGAACATTACCTAATTGTTCTCTGGAAAGGTTATGTCAGTTTGTATTACCTTTAAGAAAGTATGAAGGTAAATCACTCTCTTTCTTGCCTAATTGGATATTATCTGTTTTTTTAATTTGGGGTCACTAACTTGTTTTTGTAAATTTTTGAAAGGGACACTTAACTTAAACTAGGACATCTCCCTGGGAATAGTGCAAGAATGGAGAATGAACCAGGGAAGGAGGAGACTGACATACAAGTCCCAGCAGATGCCACTGGATTTCCTACCTGTGTAATCCTAGTTTAAAAACACTTTGAGTTCAAGAAATTGTTGGGCAAAATAAATATAGTCTTTATCTTGAATTAGGCCTTGTAGAAGTTGTCCCTGCTTGAACAATAAACAGTCTAACTTCAGGCTGTTTAGAAACAGTCCACGCAAGCCAAAGGTTGCTTTTAGAATAGAGTCAGAAAGAAACTTCAGACTTCAGTAGTTTCATGTTGACAGGAACAAAAACTTTGGCCTTAATCTCAGGCCTGGCTTTTCTTGGAAGCTCTGGTTTCTCTTGGCTTCAGCAGTAAAGGTTTAAATTTCACCATTACAGCCTCCCTTTTACTTTATTTAACATCTCTTCCCCTCGTATTATTTTTTTAATCCCCTTTATTTATTTCACTCATCCTGTCTACCTCCCTCTGCTCTGGCAACTACCAATTTGTTCTCTGTATTCAAGAGTCTGGTTTTTTGTCTTATTTTCCTTGTTTGTTCATTTATTTCCTAAATTCCGCATGTCAGTGAAATTTTATGATTTTTGTCTTTGTCTGTCTGACTTATTTCACTTAGCACTATACCATCTAGCTCCATCCATGTTGCTACAAACATCAAGACTTCATTCTTTTTTATGGCTGAGTAATATTCCTGTGTGTGTGTGTGTGTGTGTGTGTGTGTGTGTGTGTGCGCGCGCACGCGCGCGCACCACATCTTTATCCATTCATCTATGGATGGGCACTTGGGTTTCTTCCGTATCTTGGCTGTTGTAAATAATGCTGCAGTAAATAAGGGTGCATATATATTTTTGAATTAGTATTTCATTTTCTTTGGGTGAATATTTAGTAGTGGAATTACTGGATCATATGGTAATTCTATATTTAATTTTTGAGGAACCTACATACTGGCTTTTCCATAGTGGCTGCACCAGTTGGCATTCTCACTGAAAGTGCACAAGGCTTCCCTTTTCTCCATACTCTTGCCAACACTTGTTATTTCTTGTCTTTTTGATTTTAGCCTTTCTGACACGTGATATCTCATTGTTTTGATTTGCATCTCTCTGATGATTAATGATGCTGAGCACCGTTTCATATGTCTGCTGACCATTTGTGTATCTTTTTTGGAAAAATGTATTTTTAGGTTCTCTGCCCATTTTAATTGATTATTTGGGTTTATTGTCTTTAATCATGACATGGCATTTTAAAATTTCATTTAATTTCATTTTTCCCAAATGTAAAAAGGTGGTGAAAAGCAAAGGATGACATTGAGTATCTGTAATCTTAAATAGCTGACATGATGTCAAGCCAGTAGTTATTGAAATTCTTTTTTCAGACCTGAGTGAAAATTTGGAGAAAGCAATATAAATAGACATTTGAGGAAATTTAATGTTAAACAGACATGAGAAAATAATGTTTTTTGAAGTGCACAGTAAATATCTAGACCAGTGAAGGGGCAAGGATATAAAAGGAAGCCTTCTAGATTCAGCTCAAAAATGATTGGAAATTTTCCTAAAAGAACAGAGTACTACAAAGGGCTGGGTCTTATAGGACAATTGCCACCTTATAATTTTAGCTGCCCAACTTCGCAGCCAAAGTTTTCAACATTTTAGAAGGCGATTTAGCTTGCAGAAGGGAAACTCAAATAGAACATAATTAGTTTGCACTTACCTCTAGTTGCAAAATATACAATTTTTTAACCTCAGAATTTGAGAAATAGCAGTTTTTATCTTAGTACAGTCAGTTCTCCTTATCTGGGGATGGCCATGATTGTCATAGCATCATGACTGAATGCAACAGTGAAGTAACTTTTGTTATAAAGGAATCTGCCTGGACCTGCTTCCTGTCAGATAAATGGTGCCAACTGGTATCTTGCAAGTTCAGTATAGATATTATCAGAATAAAATACTGAACTTGTACATGATTGCAGAGCAAAATAGGAGTATATCATTTACTCACCAAGGACTATAATTAGGCTTTTTGTTTCGCTTTTACTTACTCTTGGCTAGTTTTCTTTCTTTCTTTCTTTCTTTCTTTCTTTCTTTCTTTCTTTCTTTCTTTCTTTCTTCTTTCTTTTCTTTTCTTTTTTCTTTCTTTCTTTCTTTCTTTCTTTCTTTCTTTCTTTCTTTCTTTCTTTCTTTCTTTCTTTCTTTCTTTCTTTCTTTTTCTTTCTTTCTTTCTTCCCTCCCTCCCTCCCTCCCCCCCTCCCCTCCTCTCCTCTCCTCTCCTCAGAGAGGAGAAATGGACAGGGGGTGGTGGGGTGGGAAATGGATTACAAAAATGGAATTAGTTTAAAATAAATTTAGGGTGAAAAATGAAAATAATTAAAGTCCTTAATACTGTTATTATACTGTTTTTTATTAGAGAAGTAAAAATAAATTTGGGTATTTTATGATTTCTAAGTTACGGCTATGTTTTTAAACGT